TATTATTCTTATTACTACGACTGTGTATCAACTACCATCATTTTTTTTAAATCAATTGTAGTTATCATCAATAATCGTGAAATATATTATTAGTATCGCAAGCGAAGAGAACAAAGTAACATTCCAACCGTCAATGTGCCACACAATTTTTATAATCTATCGAGAAAAAGTAATTATTAAAATACATTGTCAGATAAACAAAATAAAAAAAATAAAAAAAAGGAAATCATATGTGTGACAACAAAAATAACAAGAAGAAGAAACGTAGTGATTTTTTTACATTAGAAGAAAATTCAAGCAGATTTATAAAACTAAATTTTCGAAGAAGATATTGGCAAATTCCTTCTTTTCTACGCAACAAGTACCATTATAGAATAATTTTTCATTCATGTCTAAGGACGAATTAATCTGTAAACATACAGTGGTTTCTCAGAAAAAAAGAAGAAGAAACGGAAAAAATAGACGCATCTCTCTTCTTTGTACATACACATGCGTCTGACTCTCTGGCTGTTCGTCGCTTCATTAATGTATGAAATATAAAGGACAGTACGAATTTTCGTAAGAACAACCCTTTTGGATAATAATAATAATAATAATAATAATATTGGGAGAAGAAAAAAAAAAAAAAAAAAAAAATTGATTCCTTTGAGCTCGATTCGACTATAGGTGTTATCTTTAGCGTCCGAGGATGAGTTTGGCAAAAGAATTTTGTTGAAGTATGATGACGACATGGAATTAAGAAGATAATTTTCTGAGTCGTGACTCCGACATGTTGGTGAGTGGGCATAATGGATGGTAAATGAGGACAAAAGNTTTTTTTTTTTTTTTTTTTTTTTTTTTTTTTTTTTTTTTTTTTTTTTTTTTCTTATTTTTGTACTCCATACTGAGCCATTTCAAATATAAATATACATTAATTTCGTTATTTTTCTCGAGTCCCACCCACCGCTTGAACAACCTAAGAAACGAGTGTCATTGTGCGTACGTCAGAGCATCGTGTGGTTTTTAAAAACAAATAATCATAGTTATATCTTTAATCGTTTTGTAAATGTACATAAAAAAAAAAGCGTAAGGCTCGTAAGATTGCGTTTTTATTTTTTTTTATTATCATTATTATATATATACGAGTAATTTATACATGAGTCGATATACGTATTAGCTGATAATTATGTTTTTCGCAATCCTTCTTTTATTGTTATTTTTGTTTTAATACTCGCATAAGATATTTTTTCTCTTACATTTCTTCGGCTGCAAAAATTATTTTTTTCTCACATACGCATACAAAGGAAGAAATAGAGCGAGAGAGACAGAGAGACTACTTTTCTCTTCCTCCTCACAGTACATTAACATAGTTAAATTTATTTTTTTTTTTTATTCTTCACTTTTATGTATGGAATGAGAGAAAAAGCTAAAGTTTATCGTCGATTGTTACGCGCGACTACAAATTTGTACACCAAGTTTTTTTAACATCTTTGACAAAAGCGTGAGAAATGGATCAATGTTTTTCCAAGAATTGTTCTTTTTCTTCCGAAAATCCTCACACATCTGCACACACATACACAAACAATCATACACATCAATACATATATTCTAGTTAAGCTGCAACCTGCGGAAAGAAAAAATAAATAATTAAATAAAAACTGTTTTTTTACTGGAAAAAAAAATGTCCAAGCTTTTGTCGAGGAAAAAATTTTCTGTAGGGCATCGATAGAATACGTATACTAAGTTTCGCTGGGAATGGCGCAATTTTAATGTAAGTTTCCGGGACAAGGGTCGTGGGAGGAAACGGAGCGTGCAACGTTCCAGCTCCTGCACCCCCCTGCCCCACCTTTAAACTTAATTAAGGCACTTAAACACACGTACGTATTCGTTTCTTCACTGTTTTTTTTTTTTTTTTTTTTTTGCAAAACCTACTGTATAGCGCGTTCTATTCTTCACAAGTAGTATATAAATACATGTACGACACTCCCCTTATGTCTTACTCTTCGATGAATTCACCTTCCTTGGCGTTTTTATCTTTTATACAATGTAAATTAAGAGAGCGACGTTGTACCTTTTGCGTTTCGAAGGTTATAATTATTAGTTGTAACTGGCGTCCCTTGCCTCTATTGAATGGTTTTCGTACGCAAAAACAAAAAAAAAAAAAAAAAAAAAAAAAAAAAAGAAAAAAGAAAGACCTTATTTAATAAGGCTATACATATAAATATATTATAAATGACGATGAGAGACGTACCTTAAGTTTATCCATCCCTCTAATTTAATGCCACGAACTCTTAGTTTGTTTGATTAAATTAACATTAAAATGTATCATCGTGTAATATTAATTGATATAGTTTTACGTGCGATAGTATCGGCTCTATACTAAAACGTAGAACTGTGTATTTGAATAATACCGATCGAATTGTTTGTCCATGAGTCAGTACTTTATGATATTATTTTGATATCGCGGCTCTCATTTCTTTTCTATTACGTACGTGTAACCGAACTTCTCCAAAGACATTATTATACAAAGACAAGATTTTTTTAAGAAGCTTTTTTTTCTATCTTCTTCAAGCAAATTTCGTTTGGGCAAATTTCTCTGGTCCAAGCGACTGTTTGTGGAATCGGCTATCCATCAACAAGACACGAGACCGTAAAGTGTATGTGTTAAATTTTTTTTTTTTTTTTTTTCTTATTTTTGTACTCCATACTGAGCCATTTCAAATATAAATATACATTAATTTCGTTATTTTTCTCGAGTCCCACCCACCGCTTGAACAACCTAAGAAACGAGTGTCATTGTGCGTACGTCAGAGCATCGTGTGGTTTTTAAAAACAAATAATCATAGTTATATCTTTAATCGTTTTGTAAATGTACATAAAAAAAAAAGCGTAAGGCTCGTAAGATTGCGTTTTTATTTTTTTTTATTATCATTATTATATATATACGAGTAATTTATACATGAGTCGATATACGTATTAGCTGATAATTATGTTTTTCGCAATCCTTCTTTTATTGTTATTTTTGTTTTAATACTCGCATAAGATATTTTTTCTCTTACATTTCTTCGGCTGCAAAAATTATTTTTTTCTCACATACGCATACAAAGGAAGAAATAGAGCGAGAGAGACAGAGAGACTACTTTTCTCTTCCTCCTCACAGTACATTAACATAGTTAAATTTATTTTTTTTTTTTATTCTTCACTTTTATGTATGGAATGAGAGAAAAAGCNAAAAAAAAAAAAAAAAAAAAAAAAAAGAAAATACAAATACACATATGTACTAGGTAAGTTCATACTGCGTATTGCCTTTTTGACTTCGGTGTGAAATTAAAACAAAAAATATCCAAGTACACTGGTTGAGTCGTGAATGCGCGAATCAACGACGACATTGAGCAACGATTTTTTGAGTCATAGATCCGGGGAGGATCGACCGTTTTTCCCTGTAAAAAATTAATTAGAATCAAACAGCGGTAACTGAGATACCGGCCGGCGTGGATCGATCGCTGAGTTTATACCTAACCTCAATTTCGTGAGTTTCAAAACAAACATCCGATCAAACGATAATAAAAAAGTTATAGAAACCTGGTGTAATGTAAAATATACCGTGAATTTTATATGCTAAATCTGTGCATTACATTGTATTTTAATTTTTCCACAAAAGAGTGAGTATTCCATGCACTGGGTCTTTATAGCTAGAGATATTATCAATGATAGAAAAGTGGGTCTTTATAGGTAACTCTCAAGTGATCGTCCCTCGTGTAGTGTCATGAATTTTTTTTATTTTTAAAACATTTTATTGATTTTTTTACACATAAGAATCGTTGCTCTTAGAATTGTTTGTCGTTTTGTCGGGGCATTGAGATCGGCCGCATATATGTTTCATGTTTTTCAATATTTGTAATTTATCGATCAAATCTATAGAAGGTATCGATACATAAACAGTCTAAAGTGTGCGCTACTATACACAAATATTATTATTATTATACATAAAAGTATACATTATTATACATGAAAAATATACATTAATGGTGTATATTATACATATTATTATTATTATTATTGGCGTTGTAAACTTGTTGCTCGTGCGCGTGCTCGCATTAATTATTAAAAGTGCGACTCGTTATTTCATTCCGAGAATTTCACGAGGGTAAAAGTGTTTCATTGCCTTCCAAACGCGCGTTCGAAAATTTTTTTCTTTTTTTTTTGTTGAAGGTTAATTGTTGTTGATAAATTGTTTGTGAGGGTTGTAATTTGTTAAATTGACGTGTATATGTTGATCGAAAAAAAAAAAAAAATAATAAAAGGCCAGCGCAACGATTCTCATCATAATCTATGCGGATTTTTTTATTTTTTTTTAACGCGATTCGCCTATCACAAAAAAAAAAACAATGTAGTCCGAAGAAAGGGAATACAACTGGCATTAAGTAATTGTTACTGCGAGCGGTGCTGGCAAGCTGCCGCCGGGAGAGAGAGGAGGAGAAAAAAAAAAAAAAAAAAAAAAAGAAAAAGGGACCGAGAACTGTTAGAGATATTTTTTAAAGTTAAAATCAAAGAAAAGGGCTACTTTACGCAGTCACTTATGTGAGTGCGTAAAGTTTGAACTTCTTCTGTTTGATACTCCACCGATTTAAACAACTATCGAGGGATCTTACTGGATTTAAAACAAGCTGCTATAATCCCTCACGCACGGTTCACCTATCAAATTTGTCGTACCAGGTAGTGGTAACGAATACATTGATCTCGCACACACGATGCTCAGTCTTCGTGTCAAGTTGGCCATAAACAAAAAGTAAGAACTAAATATCGACATAACATCTAAAATCATAAAGATAGGACTAATAAATGATTCTTTGTATTCGTCGTTCCCCCAAGTCAATGTATTTTTCAATCAGAAACCTTTGTTACCGTCTAACAACGCCTACGCTTACATGGCGTATTCGAAACATTTATTGAAATTCGAAACTGCAGCAAAATTAGCCCACTTAACAAGTGCATTATGGTGCCACAATACGGCGACAAAGATGGTTGACGTGTTGGATTCCAACGCAGGACTTGTCAATCGACGAACTTTACCACCAGCAAAGAAATTGATTGATCTGATCAGACATTTTCATTACAATGTATACAATCAGAAAAAGTTACTCATAAATGGGGTCAAGGTGAGAATATGATTACGAAGATCTCACAATGTATTTTGTCTTATAGAGTCTTTAAACTTAAATTTTTATCACATCGAAGAAGCATATCTTTCAGTAAGACGCGTTAGAATAAGCCCCTCTGTTTTATTAGCTCATACCGAAGATCTGTCAAACAGCACAGCAAAATATCTGCTCACGCGTATTAAAGTGATAGCTGTGACGATGTTTAGCGGTATCAAGGGTAAAACTTTTAATTATACTATTTTGGGCCAGTGCCTCACGCAGATGTTCGTTAGTTTTGTTATAAATCAGGCTCATGATGGCAATCGAACTATGAATTCGTTTGATTCTTATCATTTAAATATTTATTTCTTTTGTTTGTATATAAACGGTATTTAAGTTTTATCCAAATAATTACAGACAGACTTTAAAACAAATAGCTTGTACTTAGATGCTTATCTTACCTTGTTTCCAGGTACTGGCGTTTACTTTTTCAATAAAGAAAATTACATTAATCGCGAATCTTATTCTTCTGATAACTGTCTCTTTGCTTTTGATTTAATACCAGATTTATCGGCCAACGAATGTTCTCATTAAAAAACTAATTAAACACGGTATCGTTTAATTGGACGTTTAATGTACCGATTCTCTAACTTTGACTCTCAACTGTAAGGTGTGTGCTGCGTACGAGAATATTCTCGAAATCGATGTATAACGTTAAATCGTGGTCAACTTTAGCGGCTAGAGGGCGCTACTAAGGAAATATAGTTACCCTCACCGATCGGACATGACAATTGTCTCTCGGTTTAGTTTTTATTGGCAAGCTCAATCATCCATAAACTGCAATGGACCTTGTAGTCAACATTGAGTATTTCAAGGTGGAAAAAATATAACAGTGCTGAAAGAAGTTGCTATCGTTGCTTGAAATAATGACTTTTTCGCACATTAGATGTGATGCCTCCTTGTTACTTGCAAAAATTAAGTGATCACAGAAGGGAGCGCAACGACAAAATATTAGGTTGTCCCGACATTATCATAAACTTGATTTCTTTAAGGGTGAAGTGTCTTTGGAATTAATTTTCAAAATTTTGAATGATGTTGGAAATAGTGCAAGAAAAATTTACGTCAGGAGTTGCTAAATGTGGTAAAATTTACATAGAATATCTCTTATATTAGAATATAGAATAGCTCTTTGGCAAGTAATAAACTCGAAGTACAAGATTGACTGTCTATCTTTAGGAGATCTGTCATTAGGAGTGTATTGTATTCATTACGCATTCAAATCAAATCATTAAAATATCAGTGTGCCTCAAATTACGCTCACATACTAAAATTTTTGCTCCAAAAACGTAATGAACAGCCTACAGATATTGCAAATACTGTCAAAACTTACAACGCATTCTACCAATGGATTCCCAGCCTATCAGATTCCACAGGTGTGAGCAAAATCAACAGCACTTGACATTGACACTAATAATCATACACCAACAGGTGTGCATTGGGTCCCTATATGCGTTGATGCATATTCAGATGGCTTATATTTTAATAGCTATGGTACTCAACTTTATCTACCGCAGCACTTTAATGGATTTCGTAATAATTGTTAGAATCTGCGTTGGAATGTTAAGCAATTACAAAGCATAACTTAAAACTTATATGGTCAATTTTGTTTGATGTTTTTGTTTTACATGAGCACTGGNTTATTATTATTATTGGCGTTGTAAACTTGTTGCTCGTGCGCGTGCTCGCATTAATTATTAAAAGTGCGACTCGTTATTTCATTCCGAGAATTTCACGAGGGTAAAAGTGTTTCATTGCCTTCCAAACGCGCGTTCGAAAATTTTTTTCTTTTTTTTTTGTTGAAGGTTAATTGTTGTTGATAAATTGTTTGTGAGGGTTGTAATTTGTTAAATTGACGTGTATATGTTGATCGAAAAAAAAAAAAAAATAATAAAAGGCCAGCGCAACGATTCTCATCATAATCTATGCGGATTTTTTTATTTTTTTTTAACGCGATTCGCCTATCACAAAAAAAAAAACAATGTAGTCCGAAGAAAGGGAATACAACTGGCATTAAGTAATTGTTACTGCGAGCGGTGCTGGCGAGCTTTTCGAATAGATGTTTAAGTAATTCGAAAGGGCAGAGAAAAAAGAAGCATGTACAGGAAAAAAATAAAATAAAAATAAAAGAAAAATGAGACTGATGATACATACACAGTATTTGCGGAAAATCGTTAATAAGTAGGTTAACGAAAGAGCGCAAGCAAGTTGTAAGCTTATAGCAAAAATGATGCAGACAATTCGTTCGAATCGCGTAGCCCTAATTAGTATATTTTTTTAAATACGTTTAATGATACGAAATTTATATATCACTTACTTCATCACGATTGGCCTCTGCAATGCGTTTGCTCGAATATAAATTATATTAAGCGACAAAATTTTTCATGAAAAAATACACGATTATAGTTTTACTGTACGTACAGGATATACTGATCGAAGGAAAATCAAATGCCAGTTGTACAACAGAATGTTGATAAGCCATATTTTAAATTACGTGCGAATTTATAAAAAATTTGTAAAAAATAAAATAAATACGAACTCGAAACAGTGATGAAATGTCGACGCAGTTGACGCTTGCAAGGTATTGAAAATTGTCAAAATCCTAAGTTAAATTTTCTCTAAAACTATTTTTTGTCGAAGGTGAGACCATTTAATGCAAAAAAAACCTGGTTTTTTGGTACACTTGTATCATAATGTAAAAAATAAATTAGAGTTTTTTGTTTGTTTAAGCCTGCAATCTTGTGTCATTTTCACTTGCGACGAATTTTCATGCTTTTTTGTTTCATGAATGTTTTATGCGTCGTGAACACAAATACTTTTCACACCACAAGAAAAATATAGCACCAAAATACAAGAGTCCATAATCAACAATAGATCAGTCTCTCTCATATACCGCACACATGGAAGCCAATAGTATCATAATTAAATACACATAAACCACCAATGTAATAAGCGTGCGAAATTTATATTAATTTAGCTATACATATATATTTTCACACGATTTATAAATAGATAGGCACTTACGATTACGATTACGAACTCTCTCCGTCGATTACTTTCTCTCCCATGATTAAATACTCTCCCATGCCCCCCTCCTTTCGATATTACAACCATCGTTTTTTTTTTTTTTTTCATATACAAATACAATAGTGCGTGAGAAAATGTTTAAAGCTTGTACATGTGCGTGAGATGATGATGAGTCTATTTGAACACATTTATAAATAAGTGATCCAATTTTAAGGATACGAAAACAAAGCATACAAATATGTATACAAATTAATGTTTTAGCGAAATGAGCGTGTGAATGTGTTTGCAGTTAGGTGGGACCAAAAAAAATCGACGTTTGTATACATACATCTCTAAATGTGCATATCCAAGCAACGCGTAATTCAATTGTGAAATTAACTGGCTGATTGAAGCATTGTTCGATTGAATGCGCAATACTGTAAAATGACGATTTTCTTTTTCTGTGAGAAACGATAAACAAACAAACTTGATCGAGAAGACGACGACGACGACGACGATGAATGATTCTAAGTACACATATTTATAAATCTCAATGGTATGTTAAATTACATTACGGTTAAATCTATTTATATTGTAAGTATAGGATTTTTAATTTACTTCACACAACTCTTTGTCAATGGTGATGGCACGCTGAGCACGCTAAGACCAGCTTGTAATATATAATTAATTTTTCAAAAGTATTGATATATTTACAAAAATTAGCATGTTGTAACATTACATCTTAAAATTTAGCGCATTGGTATTTTCAATGAGATTACTCACTACTTTCCGATAAGAAATTGTAAAATAAAAAGAAAAATTTTTAATTTTTATTAAGTAATTTTAAACTGGAAAGGGTGGACTGGCGCACGGAGCGTGCTAAGGGGTGTTGTCTCATTAGTATATGTATATTGCAACGGTNTGGCTATATTGCGCAAACTTCGATCGAACCCCGATAAAGAATTGAGGCTCCTAGTGTTGGGCTTGGACAACGCGGGAAAGACAACGATTCTTCGCTGCTTGGCGAATGAGGACGTAACACAAGTCCGTAATTTCGAGTGTTTTTTATACATAATATAACATACGAAGGTCCAGTAAAAATAAAAATTGCAATGACCGAAAAATGTTAAGGTTACACCGACTCAGGGGTTCAACATAAAAAGTGTGCAAAGCGAGGGTTTCAAACTAAACGTTTGGGACATTGGTGGGGCTCGAAAAATACGGCCGTACTGGCGCAACTACTTTGAAAACACGGATGTACTTGTGAGTATTTGAGGGGAGCAAACAAATTATTTAGGGGGAAACGTGTGTGCACTAGGAATTTGCAAAGTACCTTAAGGGACGAATGGCATCGCCCTGATAGAAAAGTCTTAACGAAAGTCTCGTCTCAAATATTTGAGGTAAAATCAAAAGTTAGGATGTATAGTATTGCGAATGTAATTTAACGTAAATCATCTAATTAATAAGTGGATTTATATCCACATGGATGTGATGTTTTTACATAAGATTTTTTCATTTAAATATTAAGAAAACAACATTGAAAAACCAAGACAACGTTTTACTTTACAGATTAACGAATTAATTAATTATTACACTTACGAGGGGATAAGAAAAAAGGGTAGAGAAGAGACAATTGTAAATTTGAAACGTGCGAATTAAGTGTGTACATGTATGAATGCGTTGCGAGAAAGCAAGCGAAAAATAAATTAGCGAGTGAATGAGGAAAAAAAAAAAAAAAAAAGAAAATACAAATACACATATGTACTAGGTAAGTTCATACTGCGTATTGCCTTTTTGACTTCGGTGTGAAATTAAAACAAAAAATATCCAAGTACACTGGTTGAGTCGTGAATGCGCGAATCAACGACGACATTGAGCAACGATTTTTTGAGTCATAGATCCGGGGAGGATCGACCGTTTTTCCCTGTAAAAAATTAATTAGAATCAAACAGCGGTAACTGAGATACCGGCCGGCGTGGATCGATCGCTGAGTTTATACCTAACCTCAATTTCGTGAGTTTCAAAACAAACATCCGATCAAACGATAATAAAAAAGTTATAGAAACCTGGTGTAATGTAAAATATACCGTGAATTTTATATGCTAAATCTGTGCATTACATTGTATTTTAATTTTTCCACAAAAGAGTGAGTATTCCATGCACTGGGTCTTTATAGCTAGAGATATTATCAATGATAGAAAAGTGGGTCTTTATAGGTAACTCTCAAGTGATCGTCCCTCGTGTAGTGTCATGAATTTTTTTTATTTTTAAAACATTTTATTGATTTTTTTACACATAAGAATCGTTGCTCTTAGAATTGTTTGTCGTTTTGTCGGGGCATTGAGATCGGCCGCATATATGTTTCATGTTTTTCAATATTTGTAATTTATCGATCAAATCTATAGAAGGTATCGATACATAAACAGTCTAAAGTGTGCGCTACTATACACAAATATTATTATTATTATACATAAAAGTATACATTATTATACATGAAAAATATACATTAATGGTGTATATTATACAAGGATTATAATATATAAACCATTGGGATTGGTGAGAATATGCAGTTTTTTCGCTTTGGAGTGTTATTTTCTGAAAATATTGAACAAAATATATGGAAAAAAATTAATAAAATAAATGAATGAAAATTTAAAAAATAACCCAAGTTTTTCATTTTCTTGTCGTCAAATTCATGTATTTTTGTTCAGTTTCATATTTGTTTTAATGCAAATACAATTAAGATAATTGCAAATAACGCATGACATACTACGTTCTTTGAATAAAGCAGCCAAAGTTATGCACGCAAATGCAGATGCCAAGGATAATGTGCCAATTTTTTCGGGTCCTGATACTCTAGACAAGGTAATGTATATGCAAAAAAATAACAATAGCCTTCAACGGAGAAATTTTCTTTTATTTAATGTGTTGTACCAAAAATATGGACAAAAGAAATTTGTTACTGTTTTTGGTTCTCCTTTTTAAATAATCAGACAGATCAGGTGTGCGCTTCGTGCACTCATTACATGTTTTCTAATGATACATATTTCGATAAGTATACTTTCAACTATGGCTATTTAATTTATAAATAGTATTAACTATTTGATCATTAAATTTTTCCACTTCGCAGTACGTCTATTTTTATCGTGCCGAAAAATACCGTTTAACGTGTGGTTAACCTATACATCTACCGTCATTTATATTTTATACATTTTACTTTTTGTCCAAACCAAGAGTAGTTTAACTAAATTTTAATTTTTAATCGCATATTGTAAAAACCCAACAAATGATTACAGTAATTATTCTTAAACTGTTCATTTTTATAACCTACCAATGTCATTTGAATTATAACCACGTGATCTCAGCTTTAACTGATTACATTACAAATAAAAGGCTTAATTTAAAACTATGCGTGTTTGCATAGCTTTTTACATTTTTATTTTTTGATTAATAATTCGACGTTTCTTATGTAGGCATCCATAGGATCAGAGGATGTTTCTCTAGTTTTTACTGATCATCTTGAAAGAGAATTTTTGCGATCAATGAGGAGTCACATCTCTAAATATCCATTGACGGATGAGTTTAACATTGATTGGAAAATTATTGAGTAAGAATGATTTGTTAATGATATTTGAACAAAATAAAAATAATTAATGATTATTTCAAAATTACGTAGATCTTTGGGGAAATTCCTAGGGATTCACGATTTCAAGACACGTTTGTTCTCGTGTTGGGTTCTAAGAACTTTGATACGTCACGTAAAGCCAATTTCTAACGAAATAGACGAAAACGATTACAAAACTTTCATGTATTGGATATTAGAAGAATTGGCTATAATTAGAGACAATCCAAGTAACTTGCTTATAATTTTCAGTACAATAATACAAAAATACTATTTGAAGCAAGTTTTTACGAGTATACGTTCTTATAAATAATTGTAGGTATCACGAGAAAACAATTTTTCGAGCTGACAAACGCAATTTTTCATCGAGCTTTACTGGAAATAACTGACGAAAAATATTTACCTTATCCATCGAAATTTTTCCGTCGATATCCAACTAACGTGGAGTGCATGGAGTCTTTTTCACCAACTACTTTGATGGAAAACAAAGTACTGCTCATTTCGTACTTTGATGATAAATAATGCGATTTTATTTAAAAATCGCGACATAAAAAATGCATATTTTTTAGAGCATCGGTAGTTGGACAAACGCGGATACCGGTGAAGAAGAAATTTCGGATATTGCGACCGAACCCAACCATATGGTACATTATTACGAAAAACTCCTTCATTTCATAGTGGATGCAACTTACGAAATGTATGAACGGATAAATTTTTAATCCGCATCACTTTGCACTCAAATAACATTTTCTTTTCCAATCATTCGATACAGATTTGGCAGCCAAGTCGACTACATGCTCATTCGGTCCACATTGAAAAACCAAGACAACGTTTTACTTTACAGAATGTCGTATTACTATCAAAAACCCAAAGTTGTAAAAAAATCAGAAGCGTTCGGAAAAAGCATCATATCAATTGCTCCTCGCCCAAATGAAGAACGTAAGTTTTGGATAACACATGTTTTAGCTAAAAGTATTTTAAAAGCACGTTTTTCAACTTCAGTAAAAAAGAAGAAAAGAAAATCGTTCAAGTCTGACGTTATCCCGCTACCTTCAATAACCAACGGTACAACTAGCGGTGATCAACACCATTTTATATTGCCCCTATCCGAAGCCTTAGAATCTAACGACGTTTTAATGAGTTTGGATGAAATCAAGGAGTACGAAGTGGAAACAGTCAAGTTGTAAATTTTATTAACAACCTTTAGTTCACAGCATATATACAAGTGCCCCATTCGCGGCATTTGAAGTCTTGGATCTGACCGTTCACGTTGTTGAATTTCAATCTTACAAATTGTTTGGTGGAAGAGGAGTCATTTTTGGTCAAGCCAAGCTGGCCGTACTTGTTCGAACCACATCCCCAAAAGTCTCCATTGTCTATAGGAGTTTTAATTAAATAAAAATCCAGAAAATATTATAACTTAAAGTGGTCATTAAAATGAATACCTGTTCGACAGATCGTGAATGCATTTCCGCATTGTACTTTTTTGATGTTTATCTCAATCGATTGTCCAGTTTGACTTTTGAAATCGACGAGTGTCGGTACTGCCGTTACATTTTCAACGTCAGGCAGGCCAAGTTGCCCCCTGTTGTTCCAGCCCCATGTGTACAAATCTCCCTGAAAATAAAATTTCCGGTCGAACATTCAAAATATAAATGTGGTAAACTTCATTATTCACAAAATATACCTGATCCGTAACTACAGCGCTGTGCCAACCACTGGCGGTGATTTGAAGAACTTTCAAACCCGCCAAAGCTTCGATTAATTTTGGCTCGTCGCAGTCTTCTAAATCTCCATGACCCAGTTGACCGCGACTTTTCCGAAAAAGAAAATATCGTCATCGACGCTTGCATACAATAAAATAATTTAAAATTAAATCGTTTGATCGAATCAAGCGCCAATATGTGTACAGGATATATCAAACGTCCAAATGTTTTTCGACACAAATTTGTAGAACCTTGGGGTGACTTAGAATTTGACCCAAAGGTCAATCTTTATTTTTTTAATAGTCCAGCTGGCAGTGGAGCTCTGAATCTTCGCTATAAACGCCGTGCACACATTTTATTAAAGTAGTTTAATTTTCTATAACTTTTCCCGTTTCAGCGACATAACCCAGTAGGGTGGAAGCGCTACGAGGCAAGTTTGAGTAAATATTAACTGTAAGACTCTTCAATATCCATTTGATAAAAATTATTTCTGAATTCAATGTCATGTAACTTTACATTTCGATACACCTTTGATCTCAAATCAGAGTGACCCCGAAATGAAAAAGTCTCCCTAAGGTTCAAGTAATTAAAAATTCGACGATTTTAGCCTGAAAACATTTTTTTGTTAATTAAAATCCTCTGAAAAATCATAATAATTTGATTTTTTTTTTTTTTTTTTGCTACATCCTGTACACCATAAAATAAGGAAGGTCGATAAGGCCTACTCGCACCCCTTCCTAGCCCACTTGAGGAAGATTTAAGAGGGCGACTGTATTCGTACGCAGTGGAAAAAGGAACATTTACAGATGCATTAAAAATGTAAAAAAATGAATAGAATAGATTTACTGTTGTTTATAGACGTTGAAAAAGAATTTCTCAATTTAAATAAATGAGGCCGAAACCCGCAACCCTCATCGACCCTCCTCTTTTGCTTGAAAATCGAAATAAGTATCCAAAGCCAAAACCCACGTGCCCATCCCAATCGAGTAGACATCTCCGTTTTTGGCGAGTAAAATCGTGTGATCGAAGCCGCAAGCTATGTCGACGAATTCCACCGTCTCGGGGTTATTCAGCATAACTGGGATATTAAAGACGTGACCCGCATTCGTCAGGGCCACGGTGCAACGGCCCTGGACCACTTTTATCACGTGCTCTTTCCTGCCACCCTCGTCTGAGCATGAAATGAAGTCTGGCACTACTTTCCACGTGTTACTTTGCATCTTGTGAACCCACAGATCGCAGCTGTTGGTTAAAAGAGTTACGTGCTCCGAGCCCGCTATCGCTTGTTTCAAACTAAAATTTCATGATTCGACATTTTCATTTCTTCGAATTTTGATTATATATTGCTACACTTAGTATTCCTTACGCGACTTTTGGGTGCCCGGGTATCTCGAGTGGACAAAGACCCGCAGCGGTGTCTTGCGAACGGGATTGTCCAGATACGTATAGTTTGTCATTTTTCCAGACGAGCAGGTAATCCCATCCGATTTCGACGTCCGTTACGTTTTCGTGTTTTATTTGCGTGGGCTCGGTTATCGCCGACAGAGTTGAGGTGTTACCAACCGATTCGTCTCCGCGAACGAGTTTACTCGATGTCAAGCCGCAGAAGTAGATTTTCGGCATTTTTCGGGAATGCAACGATATAAACTATTTTGAAAGTTTACCATTTAGAGTAATATGCATTTTGAGACAAAATGTATGATCGATTATTAAATTACTTGACAAGAGTGCCTTATATTTTTACCAGAGCAAAAGGTGTTATAACTAGTGTGCCTCTGATGACAATGGAAAAATTTTACCAGCCCCAAGATTGCGTAACTCTGAGAAATTGGAATCAATTATTTTTTGCATGTAACTTTTGATGTTGAAATTTTAGGGTTTCATACATACTCAAGAAAAAAAAGTAGAGGTATTTAACAACCCATGTAGATAAAAAAAAAGTATTTTCGTGCTTTTATAGTTAAAAATTTAATATTTTACTTGTTAAAAAAATCAGTTTTTTGGTTGTAATTTGAAAAGTGAATGAATTACATATTCAATGTCAAAAATAAAGTTGTGGACCGCACGAAAATTTATTTATTTGATATTTTTGTTTATTTTTCCTGAACAATCTTCATACTTAGAACATTGAGGAAAATACTACAAAGTATGAAAAAATTAGTTTATTGCTAAGCCTTTTATAATTTTAAATAATTTAATTATACTTGCCTAATCAAAAAAATTTGTAGATCTCATTGAAATACAAATTTTTTTTACTGTACACATTTATTTAATTTACAATCCTGATGGTCAAGAAGGCAATAAACATTAAGAAATAATTTTTTTTTAAATTAAGATTTTACCGACTATAGTATAAAGTTGACATAATACCACAAAGTTATGAATATTGTAAGTGTGGAACTTAATAAAATACAACTTTTTCATAATTTTAAGTATTTTTTAAAGACTTTTTAATACTCTGAGAACTGAAGAAAATATTTCAACAGATCAAAAAACCATATGATAATCGATATTTAAATTAGCTTCGTTAAATTTAATTGATTTTATTCTAAATTAAATAAACCATTTTTTGCTGAAAAACTTAAACGAATATAATAAATTAAAATAGAGTCAAGGATAAACTTATTTGTCACGATTCGCAAACGTTGTCAAAAGATAATAAAACACGACGAATAAGAATAATTACGAATTCGATAATAATAACGTTTGCTTTTCATTACCTTCAATGAAACCCGTTAAGCTATCGCGAAATCGCGAAGTACAACGTTGTTAACTGCAGCTGCAAGTGTCGCAATTACGCTCAACGTCGGTCACGTGGTTGGCCTACTTGTTCAACAATTGTTGGGCAACCCAAATATTACACGTGTCACCCTAGCGATCAAAGATGGCGCTGCATGTGTTATTCTTCGAAACCATGGCAACCCTCGACAACAAAACAAAAAGAAAACAAAAAAAAACGTTTGTTGAGTGCCCAAAAAGCTTACGAACGAAAGTTCAGATAGTTGTTTCTCTTTCTCTTTTTAACGTAAAATATTATAATAAATAATAAAAGTCGGTTGGATTTACCTCATGTAGTGCATTCGAAGGGGTAAATTATCGCTACAGATCGATCGGTTGTTCGTTAGAAAATACAGGATTAGGCGCGAGTTTCGTATCCACTTGGAAAATGGTTCGTACACTTGAAAACATTTTTATAACACGTAAATTTTTATCCAACAATTACTACTTATGACACTATTCCGTCACCATATTACATACCTTGAGAACTTACACTTGGGGAGAAATTCTCCCAAATGTAGCAGACGACTTAAAGATTTTACTTGTCTAGAAAGAGACAGAGAAGCGCGCGGGGTTGTTTGAAATAAATACTGAATAAATGATGTTAATGACTCCAATAACAGCGGGTAGGACGAAATGCAATAAATACCGACACCAATGGCTGTTGCTGTTAAAAACTGTAATTTATTCCCCTGACGACGTTTCTCTCCTCTTTGGGAAGGAGCCTTTTCAAGTCCTAAGTATAAGTAATAAATGTACAATTCGAGTAATTTGTAAGTTTTCTATATTGTTATTTTATAAATATTTCATACATATTCCTTACATGTTTATTATATTCGTTTACTCAGATTTGATGACTATATTAGTGATACCTCTTGTAATTACTCGCATTGTATATTTATTACTTATACTTAGGACTTGAAAAGGCTCCTTCCCAAAGAGGAGAGAAACGTCGTCAGGGGAATAAATTACAGTTTTTAACAGCCACAGCCATTGGTGTCAGTATTTATTGAAATAAATACTAATTTTCGTTATTTACCGAGATATGGTTGATGCTTATTTTGCAGTATTCATCCAAACTTTTATCAAACAGTTTTAATCTACAAGTTAATTTCATCGATTAAAGTAATCAATAAAACTATTCTGTTTAATTTATAAATAACTGTGTACTGCAAAAAAAAAATTAGTTTATTAATTGATAGACATGTACTTACTTGTTTTTAATAATTTGTTTAATGCGATATCAGTATGTTGAGTGTACGTTTCACCCCTGAAGATAAAATTTAATATAGAGTTTGCCGATTTCATTTATATTGTATGGATGAATAAATTTTTCCATAACGCAATACTTATAGTGTGTGCAAAAATTATTTTTGCATTACGAAAACGATTTTGGGAAAATTTTAATTATATTAATATTAGAGTGTTCGTTATTTCCTAAATTTTATTTTTTAGTCATACCAATTAAAAAAATCATTTTATTAATGACTGAAATAAAAATTATAATATTTAAATCCAAATAAAAAATAAATTGTTGCGTGCCACCAGATGCAGTATGATTATAAAATTGAAATAACTTGTAATTTTTGACAATTTTAAGAAATAAATTTTTTTAGTCGTTCTACTGATTTAATTTATTCTAAAATTATTAAATCACTAGAAATAATGTTAAAACTAACTATCTACTTAATTTTTTGAGGCTTTCATCGAAAACAAAATTTTTATGAAGATAATTCTAAAATTGGAAAAAATGTATATAAATTATCAAAAAAACCGTAGAGTTATATCTTCAAAAATTGTTTTTTGCCTGTATAAAAAAAGCCTAAAAAATTCAGTAGATACTTTTTATCATGCTCAACGTGGTTTTATAATTTTGAGTGAATTAAAATTCGTTAAAAAAATTATTTCTTAAAATCGTTAAAAATCCTACGTTAATTGATTGGGAAATTCAAATACGTCTATCAGCGTGTTTTAATTTAATTTTCATATTAGTTTTGTGACTAGGAATTGTATTTTACATTACAATAAAAAGATTTCAATGGGTATATATAACTAAACTAAAATAAAACTCATGAAATAATAAGCACCCTCATATACACATATATACATTCTATCACCCCTACAGTTGTTCGAACATAAAAATTTCAGGGTCTCCTGGCTATATTGCGCAAACTTCGATCGAACCCCGATAAAGAATTGAGGCTCCTAGTGTTGGGCTTGGACAACGCGGGAAAGACAACGATTCTTCGCTGCTTGGCGAATGAGGACGTAACACAAGTCCGTAATTTCGAGTGTTTTTTATACATAATATAACATACGAAGGTCCAGTAAAAATAAAAATTGCAATGACCGAAAAATGTTAAGGTTACACCGACTCAGGGGTTCAACATAAAAAGTGTGCAAAGCGAGGGTTTCAAACTAAACGTTTGGGACATTGGTGGGGCTCGAAAAATACGGCCGTACTGGCGCAACTACTTTGAAAACACGGATGTACTTGTGAGTATTTGAGGGGAGCAAACAAATTATTTAGGGGGAAACGTGTGTGCACTAGGAATTTGCAAAGTACCTTAAGGGACGAATGGCATCGCCCTGATAGAAAAGTCTTAACGAAAGTCTCGTCTCAAATATTTGAGGTAAAATCAAAAGTTAGGATGTATAGTATTGCGAATGTAATTTAACGTAAATCATCTAATTAATAAGTGGATTTATATCCACATGGATGTGATGTTTTTACATAAGATTTTTTCATTTAAATATTAAGAAAAAAAAAAGTTATTAGAGTGCACGTAAATTAAATTGTAAGTAGTAATAATTTTTTTTTTTTTTTTTTTCAAGTTACATATCCCTTCAGTTCTAGTACTTTAAATGCTAATTTTACGTGGATCTTTTCCATTTCATCAAGTTAATAATGAAAAATTAAAATTTTTTGTACTAAAGGAGCTCAAATTTTTATTATCTTATTTTATTTATCCTAAATTTATTTTTAAATATTACTAACAATCGTGAAGTTACCGTTCGAATTTTATTGATACTCAAGAAACTGTTGAACAAACAAAAAACAAAAAAATTCAAGCTACACCAAAACTTTATTCGGAACAGCGGAAAATTCCAAAAAATGTCCCTAAACGAGACCACGTGTGAAAAAAAAAAAAAAAATTATTTACATCAGGCAAATAGACGCAAAAACCTCAATCGTCAATTCTTTGATTTCCGGAGATATACGTCGTTGATAGTGCGGACGCAAACAGGCTCGAGGAAACGGGCCAAGAGCTGTCGGAGCTGCTTACGGAGGACAAGCTACGGAACGTCCCTCTACTCGTCTACGCAAACAAACAGGACGTGGCCCAGTCCGTGACTGCCGCTGACATCGCAGAGTCCCTCGGCTTGCACAACATCAAGGACCGTGACTGGCAGATCCAGTCTTGCATCGCCACCGAAGGCAAAGGCGTCAAGGTAATTGTTCTCTTAAAAATTATTTAATTGATAGAAACCTCTTTTTTTCTTATTTTATCGTTTTTGAGCCATTTTTCCCCTTTGTTTCAGGAAGGACTGGAGTGGGCTTGCAAAAACATTAAAAAAAAGTGAGGTACATGAAGGAATACCACACAGTTTCGTTGTCGCTTAAATTTTATTTGATATTTATCTAATATTTACAAGAATTATTTATATACCTATATTTACGATTAGGCTAGCTACGTTTTATGTATAAACAAATCCGGTCGGAGCGATTTGGTTATTCTCGACCGGTTTTTTCTTTTGTTGGCAAGAGAAAGAAAAAAATAGAAAAGGAAAAAAAAAAAAGAGAATAAAACAAAGAAAGTGCCTTTTTCAACATCGTTACTTGCACATTTACGTTTTTGCGAAAGCCTACACGTCGTTGCACACTTATCAGTGTAATTTAGCCTTCAACTCATCATTTTTCTGTCACATTCTTAAAATATTTCACAGATCTCGTTAATTTTTTTTTTTTTTTTTCTATTTTTTATCATTACACAATGGGCTACACTAAGATTAAACAGTGTCGGGCTAACGCAGTTTCGTTTTATCACCAGATTAAAATAGAAAAAATAAAATAAAAACAGTCTCTTTTTGCAATCAACAAACAATCAATTGTCGTCATGAACTAGTGGAATTTGATTTTCGTTCTTTAGAGTTCACTGTGTTCGTACTCTGCCGTTGTAGCCCTGATCTCCTCGTCGTGGAAAACTGTACAGTCCATCGGGTACTTTTCCTGCACGAAACAGAGAAAGTATATTTGTTGAAACTTGAAGATGTTTATTGTGCATTGAATTAGTATTGAATGACCAGTATTTAATAATGTACCATAATCCTAATAATTTTTACAGATAATTTGCAGGTCGAGTCAATTTGATGAAATAAAAAAAAGCAAACATTAATTTTAACGAAAATTCGTTAACAGGCACTTAATGCTCCTAATAATTTTTTAAGGGAAGTTTATAGGGTAAAAAGTGTTTGAAAAAGTGAGGATAAAATGACATTTTTTACCAAAAAACTGTAAAGTCGACCCAGAATATTAATTTTCTCTCTACTAGTAGAACTTAACATAGTCAATCAGAGGTAAGATTTTATAATCGTCATCCTGTAGCTAATTATTTTAAATAAAAACTTTTTTTTTTAAACAAATGAAAAAAAGTTTGTTTTTTTTCTCACCCGACACTCCTTGGTCTCCAAAATCGCAGCATACAGCGACCAGAAGCTCACGCCACTCTTGTTGCTTATGGCCCAGGCAGCGGGGAAACTTGCTAATTTCGTCAGGCCAACGCGGAACGAATCGTCGGCGATATTGTGGCCATCCGATGGGATTGGCTTTTGGTTGATGGTACACAGTATCTGGGGCGCGCAGTGTGGCATTTTCGAGCCCCACTTGTAAGCGCGATAAGCCTGAGATTCGAAACGGAAAATTTTACGAATTAAGATTTTTGTGGATTCAGTTAATTACACTTGAACGACAAAACCAATCATTTTACGTGTATCTTACCTTCAGTAATGGTCCGATGAAGCCATTATTGATAGACTCGCTGAGTTTATTGCTAAGCTCGCGTGCGTTTATGCGCGACATGATGAAGCCTTTCTCGGACGCCAAATTCATCAGCTCTTGAACGTACGCCACTGCAGGTTTTATGTACTGGTAGCTATCGACGTTCATGTTCAGGTGTCGTCTCGCCACTAAATTGGCGAGCCTGTAAAGGGACAATCATCCGAATTACAAACGAAAAACTTCAAGGTCCATTTTCATGGACGCTATAGTTTTCAGCGTCTCGTGTCTAGCAAATTTATTACGTGGCAGAAAAAAATGTTCAACTTTTCCAAAATGAAATGCTGAACTGTACACAAGACTCTACTGATCTCCCGAGAAATGTTTGAAAACAATGCCTATGTAGTTTTTGAATGGCTAAGGCCGTTTCGTTCCAATCAACCGCCACTGAGTAAGTTCAAAATGAAAGAAAGGTAGCCATTTAGAACACAGAAATATCGAAACAATGTATTCATAGATTCCCTTGAGCAATTTTGGACACAACAAAGCAGCACTTTTTCCGATCACTTATTACAAAATCACTCTGTTCAAGACACCGAAAACTAACGTCCATGGAAACGGACCCTAAAAGAGGTTTATTATCGAGATGAACACATAGAGATATTATAAATATCATTATGGATGAACATCCACATTACGCGTGTGTACCGACCTCGAAAGGCTCTCAGTTGGCCGGGATGGCTCGAACATCACGGTTTTGGGAAAACCCTGGGACTTGAGGAAACTGTTGCCGATGAACTGCGCCGTGGCCAGGTAGCGTTGCTGGGTCGACGGATCGGATACATGGGACATCCACTCGGCAACGAAGTTTGTCAGCGACTTGATCCACCGGCGTCTCAGTCCTGGATTCTCGAAGCTCTCCATGATCTTTTCCCACTGGATGCGGCCAACCTCGTCCGTCATCGTTCCCACGATGTTCGCCAGGCCACTGTTCTTCCACAGAGTCTGGCCCAACTCGGAGTTCCTGTGTACATACGCATACATTTTTCACTTGTTGCAGTTTAGAGCCAACGTTTAAAACGTTTGAAAGGGGATCACATTTGCCACGAACCTGAAGTGATCCCACATCAGATGCAGATTCTCCAAAATCGGGGGCATGAACCACGAGTGGTCCGAGTGGTCGTGCCTATCATTTTTCGCGGCCCCGGAGAAGGTGTCCAGGATCAGAGGTAGCAAGCCCATTGCGCCTTCGGCGTTGCCGGTCTGGCCCATGAAGGCGGAAGCTATGCCGAGCATACCGTTGAAGTCGAATCCCGGGGATTCGGACTCGTGGCCAACTTCGTTGGAGGCTCGTCTCGGCTGAGCGGTGCCCGAACTCAACGAGGACAGACCTTCGATTATGCCGCTGACCACCGACAGGTCGAGGCCACCCCCGCCACTGTCGCCGTTACCTGCTCCGCCACCGCTGCCCTGGACACCGGCCATTAGGCTGCCCAAGCCGGAGATTATCTGGCCTAGGCCGTCGCCTTTGCCCATCTACACATTTCGTACATTATTACGCTATTATTTACACTGTTCCAATAAGGTTTTACTGTGGAAAAACAAAAAAAACAAAAACAATGCAGGAATCTTTGAGGAGTTTACGTTGGGATTCCCATGGGAATCGCTTTGAAGTTCCTCCAAAACTGATTCAATTATTTTTTGTTCTGCGTGAAAAATTTTTGGGCTCTTGTTTTTTCAAATCAATCATATTTTGGAACTTGATTTAGAGTCGGTTTCTTCAAAATTGGCTAATTGCTAAATAACGAATGAGTCAACTTGATAAAAGCGAAACATGCATTACCAAACGTACAAGGTTTAATCAAGCAAAAGGAAGAAAACTAATTTTAGATAAAAATACGAAGACAATTTTTAAGTAAACATTAATTTGAATGCAAATGAAAAGAAAAAACAATTTGTATGGGTTAAAAAAAAAAAAGAGGATTAGAAATAAAAAAAATTTCAATACAGTAATTACCTGTTTTCCAGTGTCCGACTGCATGAAAGCTCGCGCGACTCCTTGGAGTCCGCCGATCGCCTCTTTGTTGTCGAGGAGCGCTTGGGCTGCTTCCATGAACGCCGTCGACGTGTCGTCCTCATTTTCGCAACAGGCGAATCCCGAAAGTGCCAAAAGTATCAATATCTTGCTCTTCCAGCTCGTCATCTTCGTGCCTGTCGAGTTAAGAGAAACGCACTTAGTACACCCAAAATAAGCGATTTAGCTTTGTAAAAAACTCAAATTTTTCTATCCGACATTTGCAATCGCACAATCGAGCTGTTGTGGCGTTATATGCCTCTTCGAAGATGTTGCTCTGATGTGTATATATTTAAACTGTATAATGGACAATGGAAAAGGCCAGTAGAACAAATTACATAGCGGCGTATAACCGTTTTCCGCATACCTACAAGTACTTCTGCGCTCTCAGCTCCATACCAATTTAAGTTAGACGCACTCCTCCGTGCACATACTAATCGCTACTGTGTACACACACCCATGTACGTTGGATGTTGTAACGCGTTCCAATTTATTTTAAATTTTATTATATTTTTTTATTTCTTTATTTAGTGATTAGCTCGAAAAATAAATACTTTTAAGTAGCCGATATTTATGTTTCGATGCAAAACGTGGATGACGCGAGCATTGTGTTTTCCTTAATTTGCTCGAATAATCGCTGACCTTCCCCGGTACTGTTTATCGGTTTGTGCAGCTAACTCTTTTGTAAAAAAAAAAAAAAAAAAAAAAAAAAATTATTAATGCTGTTTACTTGACGACAATGTGGCTCGCGAAAACGATTAATCGCCGCGTCCCACATAGTTAAAAAAAATAATAATAATAAATGCTGTTTACTAGCCAACGATGTGGATCGCGAAAACGATTAATCGCCGCGTCCCATGTACACATTAAAACAAAACAAAAAGAAACGTAACTCATAATGTTAACTTGACAATGACACGGATCCTGTGAACGATTAATCGCCGCGTCCCACGCAGGTTAAAGAAAAAGAAAAAAAAAAGAACTTGATTTTACGGTACTTTAACTAGCGCCAACTGTAAATTTTTTTCCGAAAAGCCCAAACAGCTTCGTAAGTATATATGGGCGCACGCATCCAATAAAACCGATCGTCGCCGATACACTATACACACGCTAAGTCCATTCGCGATTCCTGTGATTCAGGCGATTCTTAATTTACTTCGATCCTCATTATAACGTCATAAAATTCAAATGTACACGTTAATGTATAAGCCAATCAAGGATACCCCGAAAAACAAGACACAAACACCACATCTCCGAAGGGGCTGTAGAAAATACATATATATGGGTATGGTGGGTAGCGGTACCGAATCGAAATTCGACGACATACGGCGTACACGAACTTTCATGTAGATGAATAATGACAACAAAAAAAATTTAATTACGTGTGTTTAAGTAATTATAAAAAATTTTATAGTGACCACGGGAGGAAAAATTAATACATTTACATATTTATATTTCGATCTAACAGATTACAATGCACTTTATTCGTCTATTCATTATTATTCCAGGATTACCATGTTCTAACGAAGTATTTCGGTTTTATGTGTTGACATGTACTTATGGTATAGTACAGTTAAGTATTGTACTTTTGGTAAAGATATTAAATGACGAAGCCACCGTTCGGTGTTCCAGGATTGGCTCGATATAACAGATAGTGGAGCAAACTCGAACTGGAAGATTCATTAAATATCATTGAGTTAAATTTTAAAAATACGTAACAAATTGCATTTTTTGTATTACTTGAATAAAAATGTTACTTTAAATTATTTTGTATTGTTTAGAATTTTTATTTCACGAATATAAGCTTTAAATATGATTTATTTAATTGTCCAAATGAATTTTTGTTTTTTTATTTTTTGTTTTTGTGTTTAAAATAATTTTGGGTTTCGTGAGCCAGCCAACTCCCCACTCGGGCCGACCACGATCCGCCGTTTCTGCATCCCCGAGATCGAAAAACGATCACGAGAAGTAGGAAAGAAAAAAAAGTTTTACCATTGATATACAGACGCTCTTTCGGCTCCCGCAAATGGGAGTCAAGGCCGTACGCGCGCCCTGCATTCGTCTACTCATATAATACATATATATGTGTTATATCATAAAATGTACGGTGAGAAAAGTGTGCCCACTCGGAGTGCCGTTACAAAGCGGACCCAGATAAACGACCATCGAAATTGGGAGAAGATGCCACACACGCGCGCATACCACACATTCTATTATATATATACATATATATGTACGTGTGTAACCATGGCGAGCGTATATTATATACCGTTGCTTCTCTCGTCTTCTCTCCCTATCCCTACCCTTCTCCCCGCCACACTCTATAACTCTTTAATACACTTGAATCATTAGCGGGCTCCACCAGGTGTGTAAGTGTGTGTATAATGGGCAACACAAATGAGAGTGTGTGACACGTGAATGCGGGCAGGAGGGTTTTAAAAAAAAAAAAATTTTTTTCTTAAATTTTTCGATCGAAGGAAGTGACCGTTACGCGGAACGGTTGCTGCACGGATCTCGTGACAAGGCAACTTCAACAACCCAACTGCTCGATTAACGAACTAGCCACGACGAATATGCGTGTCTTCAAACGATTCCAATAGGAATGTCCATCTTACGCACATGCCCCTAGGAAACGGTTTGGGTCGATTGCGTTCTTATACGTGGTTTTTGATCCTGAAAGAATGAGCGACCCGGGGGGGGTGGATGTCACTTGAGACCGAGGATATCGACCCTATCGATCGGGACTCTTAGATTCGAAGAATTTTTTTCTCTGCCCGTACAGAGGAGTCGGTGGTCCCTATCTTGATGTAGCGACTAAAAAGGGGCTGACCCCCGTTGTACACCTGGCCCGGAACTTCTTTTAAAACGGTGCTTTACCTACGCAGAAAGTGTTGTTCCGAAATTTACTCGAGTACTCAAGCCACGGTTCAAAAGAAGTCGACGAAAAAACGCGATAAATAAATTCATCTCAATATTTATTAACGGGGGTGGGGGTTTAAAGGGTTATTCCCTTTTTGTGTCCGTAAAAATTCTGGAATGGAACGTGGAACGGCATAATGGCACACACGATGGAAAAAAGAAAGAAAAAAAAAGGGAACAAAACCGTTTACGACGCTTCCACGCCCCAGTTTTTGTTGTACACGCGAAAAAAAAAAAAGGTAATGTGGTAGAAGAAAAAACGTTGAGCATCGATGCGCGTAATTTCGACGAGTAAGTGTATACCGTACGAGCCGCAGAAATTGACATTCTCCGCGAGAAAGAGAAGCCCGAAGAAACATCACGGGAGGAGGATATAGTAGGTGCACATTTTTTATACACACGTACGTATATACATGTACCCCCTTTAGTGGTGCCAATAATATATACATGTACCTATAAATATATATACGCACACAGTCCACAAAGCTGTTACACCTATACTTATACATAAGTAATATGGCATGCCAAAGGCTCAAAAGACGGGATTCGGGCTGCGCCATAACGGTACGCACTGTTAGTCATCGCACTGTCTATATTATGTGCATGTATACAGCTCTCTCTGGCGTAGGAAGGTAGATCTCGTGCGAGTCGGTGCGAAATGCCAAATGTCCCCAATTGAGCAGTGGCCGAAAATAACCTGATTTTTTTTTCCTCCTCTTCCTTTTTTTTGTGCGCCCCTCAGCATCCTTCTTTTTCGTCTTCTTTTTCTTTCAGTACTTTTTTTTTTTTTTTTTTTTTTGTTCGAGCGTACGGCCATCGGAGTGTGGTCAACGAAAGTTGGGGCATTCTTTCGACCGGTGAAGGAATATGGGTGTACGAAGAAAAAAAAAAAAACTCCAGTTAGGAGTCCTTGGGATGGAAAAAATTTGTTTCGTCTTTTATCGACTGATCCTGTTATAGTGGCCGAGCACAATTTTATACATCAATAGCCTTTATGGATTTAATAAATGTCTTTGCGGAATTTGAAGAATCAAGTAGCTCCAATTCAAACTTGCGTTTCTGTACACGCAATTTTTATGCGAGAAAATTTATAATGCGAGTTTTTAGTCTAATTGTTCATGGGATCTGTATTGGTGTTATCGAGTTTGAAAAATTATAATGTAAAATATAACAGAGTCAAAGTATTTTGTTGTTAAAATAAGCTCTCAACCGTGATTTTGGTAGATTTTTTTTCATTCAGAGAAAAAAAAAATCATTATAAAATCCATTGTTTCTAAACATGTAATTACTTATTTAAAGTAAATATTACTTAAAAAAAAAAAAACAAGTATTTTATGGTTTGAAATATCAAAATGCTTGCCAACCATACGTATGTTGAATAAGCTTATTTTTTTATTTTTACATGTCTTTACCTTCTCGATTTTTAAGTGTAAACTAGTTTATCCCAGTTGATTGAATGATAACAAATATAAATGTTTAATAAGCGTAAAAATTTTAATAAAACATAAAAAAAATTTTACGAATGATGACTTGACTTATATACAACAGGGTGATTAAAAATTTGATTGAAAC